CTCCAGTCTACTCTGCCCTCCCTCTGCTGGAGAACATCATAGGTGGCTCCACAGAGAATTTTGTGCATTGGCCCTTTAAGAGGGTGCCTGAATTTCCAGTCTTCTCTCTCTGGCAGACAGCAACCCCGCTGCTTTTCACAGCCAGAGGTTATGTGGGCACCCTTCTCAGTTCTGGTGCTCTCTGCTGGGGCACAGCTTGGGGATTAGATCCCAGAGTTCTCAGTGCAACCCCCCACAGCTGGGATATCTCTCCAGAATTTCAGCTGCTCTCTGTGGGAGCCCCACCAGCCCTTTCGCGCTCTGTCCCTCCTACCAGTCTCTATGTGGTCTGCACTTTCCATCCTTGGTTAACGGGGTTCTCTTCAGTGATTGTTTTATTGATTATTTAGGAAGTTTTTGTATTTTAGTTGTAATTCCAGTTTGGTCCTAGGAGCGTGTCTGTGTAGCATCCACTTACTCTACCACCTTTTTTAATCTCTTAGTATAGATATTTTAATGATGTTCATTCTACCAATCCATGAGCATAGTATATTCTTCCACTTGATTATATCATCCTCTTTCTCTTTTTTCAAAGAATTGTAGTTTTCAAGTACAAGTCTTTTACCTCCTTAGTTAAGTTTATTCCTAAGTATCTTAATTTTTATTTCAGTGGTAACTGGGATTGTTTGTTCAGTTTCTCTTTCTGATAATTCATTATCCTATCTAATAAAGACAGAATATGCAAATGACCATCACTCTGTGACAAAGATGGTGGCGCCCACAGCCAATAAGGAGGGAATATGCAAATTGAAGTGACAAAGATGGCATTGTTTGGGCTGGGACGCAGGTGTTCCGCCCTGCCCCAGCCACTCCAGGCCTCTGGGCAGCTCGTGTGTGCAGGCACGGAACAGCCAGGGCGGACGGGATGCCTGCTATGGGGGGGTAGGGGGTGGAGGGAGCTACAGGAGGGCAGCAGGGCTGGAGCGAAGGCAGCTCCACAGGAGCAAAGGCAGAAAGCAGCTCCGGCCAGAGTGAAGGTGGAAGGTGGCAGCCAGAGCAAAGACCTGGGTCCCAGCTGATGGAGGGAAGCTATTGCCGGCAGCCAGAGGAAGGAAGGCCTATTCTTGCATGAATCTTTGTGCATCGGGCCTCTAGTTGGTGTATAAAAAAGTCATTGATTTGGGGGTGTTGATTTTGTATCCTGCTACATTGACAAATTCATTTATTAAAATCTAGTAGTTGATTGGTAGAGTCTTCAGGTTTTTTTATGTAAAATACCATGTTGCCTGCAAATAATGAGAGTTTTACTTCCTCCTTTCCAATTTGGATGTCTTTTATTTCTTCTTCTGGTCTGATCACTGTGGCTAGGACTTCCAGTGCTATGCTGAATAAGGAAAGAACACCCTACATTTACATAGAGCTTAGATTTCCAGCACCTGGACTTGCTGCGTGGTCTCTTGTGAACTACCCAATCTTTCTACCCATTCTTATCCAGTCTGTAAGTTGAGAGACTTGTTCTTTCTTTTTTTTTAATTTGAAAGTGAGAGGGAGAGAGGATTATCAATTTGCTATTCCACTTATGCATATATTCATTGGTTAATTCTTGTATGTGTCCTGACTGGGGATCAAACCCTCAACCTTGGGTATTGTGATGAGGGTCTAACTAACTGAGCTACCTGGCCAGGGAAACACCCTTGCTTTTTTGTTTTTGTTTTTGTTTTTTTGTGTGCTTTTTTGAGAGAGAGAAGAAGGGAGAGGGAGAAACATCAATGCGAGAGCTAAACACCAATTGGCTGCCTCCTACAGCATCCAACTGGGGATCAAGCCCTCAACCCCTTGGTGCAGATGCCTTGCTATCTTAATGGCTGTTAAAAATCATTTTCAAAACAAAATATAGTCCATCAACAAACTCCCAGACTAGGGACTATTATGTAGACTCATATGGTGTCATCCGTTGCATTGATTCCCAAAACAGACACCGGGTCCTAACACAGGGGAGGCCAGCAGTGGCCCCTGGGATTATACAGAAAAGCTCTCCAGCTCCTGGTGTTGAGTCACGCAGCGTGTTGAGCTCTGGGTTGTATCTTTCCAACCTGCAGAAGAAACGAAGTTCAGACACTCCCACTAGGAGATCCCCATAACAACTCTGTGGGGTATGAATTGTTAACCCCATTTTACAGATTAAGAAAATGAAGCTCAGAATGACTGACTGAAGTACAGGAGGGGCTTGAATCCAATTCTTTTGGCGCCAGGTCTAGTGTTGTTAACCACACCATGCTTCCTCCTGACTCCCCCTAGATTGCCTGGTGCCAGAAGCCAATCCACCCTTGCTGCTTGACACAGTTGCTGCAGGGAAGAAACATCTGCACAGCTTATGTTTCAAGGGACCTGGCGTATATGGCATATGTTGCTCCCCCTCTTAATGCTATGTGTTTTAAACAGGACCACCTCCGCGAGAAAGGTTGTTTCCCCAGGTGAGGATTTTTACCTGGAGTTAGGGAGGGAATAAAACCCCTTAACTAAATGCCAGGCAGGTAATTAATCACTTTAACTAAGAACAATCACGCTTAAACTACATAATCTTACTTAGGATAATCTCCTTCAGTTACTTCCTTGTAGCTTAATAGAACAATAGAGTAACCTTGGAATGGAGATAAGAAACGCCCTAACCTTTGGAATAGAATGGATAGGATTAAAATCAACTGGTATAAATACAGATGTAACAGGAGGATAAACACAGAACTTGACTGGAGATCCTGGCTGGAGAACCTCACTATGCTGATCAACTGAACGCTGTCTCCATGTCATTCCTTCTTCGCTGACTCCGTCCACACCTTTGGGAACCCTTGGACCCGATGGGGCTGGACCCCAACAGCCTGGGGCCACACAGTGTCCTCTGCAACTCTGGACTGTCCAGGTGGCTTTAATGTGGAGCTGCTGTCAAAATGCCAAGAAGCACAGCAGGCACCCAGCCTCCCCTCCCTTAGGACCAATGACAACATTATTATTGGGCCACAGGTGGAAGCTTGGGTGCAGGAGGAGGCTAAGGGGGAAAGAGTGGGGTGCTCTCGCGCCTTACTTTCTATGGGTACAAATGGGAAGTAGGATTATACCTACTTCACACATTCTGTGGGATTAAATGAGCTCATTCATATGAAGTCACTGGCAGGCCACCTGCAGCATCCCACCCTTAGTCAATGTTGAGACCCTGCTTTCCATTCCCTAAGTGGTCCATGCTCAAGGGCACCTCTGCTCAGTCTTCACCCTAGAAGCAGCAAAGATCACCTGTATTCTGGAATGACTCTCAATTACTTGCTAACTTTAGAAAATCATTCAGACTTGCTAAGCCTCCCTTCTCTGATCTCCCCACCCCCACAAACACCCTTGGAAGGGAGAGGTGTCCATTGTGGGGTTCACAGCTGGGGAACTAGCCTGGAGATGGCCCTAATTTGAAACTCAATCTCCCCAGTAAGAGCCGAGCCCCAGCACATGATGTGACCTGTGTTAGACCCTCACTCTGCTTGGGCCTCAGTTTCTTCACCTCTAAGTGAGGATTTGGGTCAGAATCTCCTAAAATCCCTACAGACCTGAGACTGTGGATGACGTTGTCGCAAGTGCACAACTTCCCAGATATGCTACGGCACTAAGCCCATTCAGAATCTTACCCCTTCATAGATGGAAGGGCTGTGGCTCCTCTTCTTAGATCCAGCCTGAAATTCAGAGGGTAAAAGATCTTAACTTCAGGGTAAGAAATGCCCCGCTCCAAAGTGGTGTGAGAGGTCCCAAAAGGGACTCGGTGCCCAGAGAGCCCTTGAAGTGGCGCCAACCAGAAGTGAATGAATCTCCTACCCCAGGAGCCAACAATGGGGTTTTGGTTTCCAGAAGATGTGAACACATACTTACCTTTGATGTGACATTTCTGAACCAAAATCAGTTTAACATCCACAGCCATCCACCCCTCACCCCTCAGACCACACACACACACACACACACACACACACACACACACACACACGGAGCCTTCAGACAAACCTGGTACAAACACGGCCTCCACCGTGTATCTGTTCAATGCATGGCACACACACTCACCCAGCGGAGCTCAGGGGCTCTCAGTAGTCGGCAGAGTCTTCAGATATAAAACCGAAGCCTGCGGCCAGGTGCTGTGGCCATGTCTGGCCATGTGTGTAGCATGGAATTTAAATATCAATCTCTCTCGCTAAAATCCTAGTTGATTAAATGACTTACTGGAAGGGGGTGGATTAAAAGTCTGAAAATGTGTCCTAACCTTCTCCCCCTTTTGATACAAACACACAATCGCTGACCTGCTTGAACGCCGTCCCTCACATCCGCCAGGCTCCCCGCTTCTCATCACCAAGTTCAGCTGATGGTCTGCACTGAGTCCCCTCCCACCTGAGATGAAAAGATGGTACGGGCCCAGGACACCCAGCTCTGTGGTTCCAGGTACCCATACGGGCTGCGAGCCCCCCTTGGGTCAGGATTAGAGGGGCTCCGATGGGCTGCCTCAGTCCCAGGCCTCTACCATGAGGTGACTGTTCCCTGAGGTCAGCACTGTCTCTCTAGGTCCCGTGCAATCCTGCCGCTCAGTCCGCATCGGAAACCTCTCCTTCTCTCACCACAGCCTTGGCTGGCCTACCAGGATCCTGTGGTTCCTGCACCAAGCACTTCCTCTCTGATTGTCCTCTACCTTCCACAGAAACTTCTGGAAACACCTTTAGTATATTCTTCTCCCAGACTCAGAGCTGCTGTTTTTCTCCAAACAGAACTAGAAAGGCACTTGCCCATTCACTTTTCAACAGTCATTTAACACAGGTCACTTGGGTACATGCAGTGGAAGTCAAGTCACTCAGAAGTGCCAGCCGGAGCCGCACTGCGCATGCAAAACATACCCCTGCACCCAAGCACCCCTGGAGGCGGAGACTCACCTTCCCTGGGGGCAGCACCACCGAATACAGGGTAGTGGCAGTTTCTTGTGATGTGGAAGCGGAAGACTGTTGAGAAGAGAAATGAAATCATTTCAGACGCATAGATAGATGTAGCACAGCCCACGGAGGGAGTTGCCTCTTCCACCTCTTCCGCGCCACCCTCAGCCCGCCCAGAGAGAAGCGTTAGTGTTGGTTGAAAAAGCCTGGCCTGGTGGGAGGCAGGTCGCACCGCTGAGTGCTAGTCCCTCTCTTAAATACAGTTGCTGCTTTTTTGGAAAATATGTTTGATTTTAGAGAAAGGGGAAGGGAGGGGAGAGAGAGAGAAACATCATTGGCTGCCTTCTGCACGTCCCCTACTAGGGATTGAGCCCACAACCCGGGCATTTGCCCTGACTAGGAATCAAACCCGGCCCTCTCAGTATATGGGACAACACTCAACCAGCTGAGCCAAACTGGCCCTGCACCTGTATTCTCCCCTAATCTTTAGGACACTCCTATCTGATAAGAATGACTATAATTTGCCTCATTCCACAGATGAGCCTCCAAAAGATAAATAGCCAAATCACAGAAGCAGCAGAATTTAAACGCAGACTCCCAGCGTTCTTTCCTCAACATCTCCATGTCTCCTTTGGCAGCCGTTTTCCTTCTCTGTATCTGAAAGAAGCATCTCCATGCTGCAGGGGAGGGATCTCAGTCTCCCCGGCATCTCCAAGTCCTCTTCTCAGAATGCAATGTGGCTAAACCCAAAGCTCGCGGAAACAATCGCTCTTCTATCTGTGGGCAAAGAAGGAGCCACATACTAAACTGACAGGCTCCAGGGAGGCCTGCAAGGCGGGCCTTACAAACCCAGAGCCCTGCAGCAACCACACAGGATGGCCTGCTATTACAGTTTCCCAACTAAAGTGGGGAGTCATGTCCTCGGCCTGCATCTTCCTCCACAAAGGCCAACCAGTACCTGAGCCTGTCTATTGTCTTTTTGCATCCACCATGGGTAACACCTTTGGAGTGATCCCCTTCTCCAGACCCCTCAGGGCACAGCTCCCACCAGAGCAGACCACCCGCCTCTCATTGTTACTGTTACCGTGTTAATTGTTAACCGTTAACTATCCTATACCCACAAACATCTATTCTTTTTATATTTATTTTTTATTTTCTGTGTCTATTCATTTTACTTTATTTGTTTTAAATATATATATTTTTTATTGACTTCAGAGAGGGAAAGGGAGAGATAGAAACATCAATGATGAGAGAGAACCATTGACCAGCTGCCTCCTACACGCCCCCCAATGGGGATGGAGCCCGCAATCCAGGTATGTGCCCTGACTAGGAATCGAACCGTGACCTCCTGGTTCATAGGTTGATGCTCAACCACTGAGCCACGCTGGCCGGGTTTCATTTTACCTTTCACCCAATCCCAGAGGTTCCCCTTTGCTTTCTCCCGCCTCCCTAATCCATCGCCAATGGAGTCCATGTGACCCACTTAGGTCTTTCCTGATTGTAATGTACAAAACAAGGGGCAAACTGCCATTCTCCAGAGCATTTCCTCAATCCATAGATTTTGATTCCAGATGATTGTCGTCAGTTTGTATCAAATAAACTCATAAAAATCCTTACAGGTTTGGACTCTTTAAGGCTCTGTGACTTGGCCCAATGAGTCCCATTACTTTAAGGGGAGTGGGAGGAGGCAACACACTTCTTAGGAATTCCTCCTCCTCCCCCCTCCTCCTCCTCCCCTCCACCCCCTCCCCCTCTTTCCCTTCCCCTCCCCCTTCTCCTCCTCCCACTCCTCCTCTCCTCCTCCCCCTCCTCCCCCTCCTCCCCCTCTCCCCCTTGTCCCCCTCCTCCCCCTCCCCCTCCCCCCTCTCCTCCTCCTCCTCCCCCTCTCCTCCTCCTCCTCCCCCTCCCCCCTCCTCCTCTCCCTCCTCCTCTTCTTCCCCCCTCCCCCTCTTCCTCCTCCCCCCTCCCCCTCCTCCGGTCCGTGGCCTTCCTCTAAAGCCATCCCCATTCCACCAAGCTGAAGAGGTTGCTGCTTCAGGTCAAAGTTCTTTTTTCTTTTTTAAGTAATTTTTTTAAAATATATTTTATTGCCAAAACCGGTTTGGCTCAGTGGATAGAGCGTCGGCTTGCGGACTGAAAGGTCCCAGGTTCGATTCCGGTTAAGGGCATGTACCTGGGTTGCGGGCACATCCCCAGTAGGAGATGTGCAGGAGGCAGCTGATCGATGTTTCTCTCTCATCGATGTTTCTAACTCTCTATCTCTCTCCCTTCCTCTCTGTAAAAAATCAATAAAATATATATTTAAAAATATATATATATATATATATTTTATTGATTTTTTACAGAGAGGAAGGGAGAGGTATAGAGATTTAGAAACATCGATGAGAGAGAAACATCAATCAGCTGCCTCCTGCACACTCCCCACTGGGGATGTGCCCGCAACCCAGGTACATGCCCTTGACCTGAATGGAACCTGGGACCCTTCAGTCCACAGGCTGATGCTCTATCCACTGAGCCAAACCAGTCAGGGCTTTTTAAGTAATTTTTATCAGAACTTTTTAATCATTGGCCACCAGGCGGCAGTGTTACCCTAGAAAGAGATGCCCAGCTGGGGTCATCTACCAATATTCCAGACGCTTCCGCCGCTGACGGTGCAGCTCAAACCCTGGATGTTAGACACAGTGCAGGGGAGACTCCGGGCCCGTGGCCCAGCTCTGTGGCCTCGAGCACGTTCGCTTACCTCAGTCTACAGACTTCATGAGGCTGTTACAGCAGATTCGTTTTAAAAATGGACATAATGAGTACTTTATAAATGTTGTCCTTAAGTCATAATAAGATGAAAGAGAACAACACAGCCCTGACCAGTTTGGCTCAGTGGCTAGAGCGTCAGCCTGTGGACTGAGGCATCCCAGGTTTGATTCCAGTCAAGGGCATGTACCTTGGTTGCGGGCACATCCCTGGTAGGGGATGTGCAGGGGGCGGCTGATCAATGTTTCTCTCTCATCAATGTTTCTAACTCTCTATCCCTCTCTAATCCTCTCTGTAAAAAATCAATAAAATATATTTTTTTAAAAATTTGTGCACTGGCAGAGGTGGGGGTCCCTCAGCCCAACCTGTGCCCTCTCACAGTCTGGGACCCCTCGGGAGATAACAACCTGCTGGCTTAGGCCCACTCCCCTGGTGGCAGATGGCACGCCCGATCCCACGGTGCCTGCCCCAGTTCCCCCGGTCGCACATGGCAAGCCCGGATCCCATGCTAGGGCGGGCGGCGGCTGGGGATCGTGCTGCCACCCGCCCCCCACTCCCTGCCCTGGGCCACACACGGCAGGCCCGGATCCCGCACTGGGGTGGGCAGTGGCTTGGGATCTCGCTGCCGCCAGCCCTGGGCAGGGCGGCACAGCGGGATCTGCCTGCAGTATGCAAATTAAATGGCCATCTTTGTTGGGTTAATTTGCATACTCTTCTGATTGGCTGATGGGCGTAGCAAAGGTATGGTCAATTAGCATCTTTGTCTTTTATTAGTGTAGATATTTAAAGTTCAAGGGCCCCGTCCTGGAAGCAGCAGGGAGGAGGGAAGAAAGAACACAGAAAACCAGAAGCCGAACTCCCTGTCAGGGTCATCTGCTGCCCGACCTTGACCTTCAGCTGTTAGGCTGTGGAGGCCCCAGAGCACTGGGACTGTCAGCCAACTCAGCAGCTGCCCAGCTGCCATCCCTCTGGAGCACCGAGGTCTCACTGGCCATTCAAGGGTCTGAGGTGAGTGGAAATTGGAGGGGGGGGTGGGCATGAGGAAGCCCATAGACAGGTGTGGACTAGAGGCGAGACCCAGAGTGGTACCTGGGGCAGGACCATGGAGTAGACAGTGTTCCCTTTCCCAGCGGAGTCCTGCTGCTGCCTCCGCCCCTGCAGGAGAAACAGGGAGGACAAGTGGCAGCGTCAGTAGGCACTCAGTCTTGCAGGGTTGGGTCACGTGGGGAGAATGGTGGGAAGGAGAGGAGCTCCCAGAGCCTGGGAGGCAGCGCTGCAGTCCGGGGACGAGAGGCACGGGGAGCAGCCACCAGGCAGTGGCAGGGAGAGGCTCCCCGTGAGAGGCCGCACAGGGAGACCCTGCCACCGGGCGCCTGCCATGCGCAGACAGTGCACTAAGTGAGGTCTGAGCCCCACTGTGGCCGCTGATTCCAAGACTAGCGGGTTTCAAGCCCCAGCCCAGATCCAGCCTTGTCTGCGGGCCCTTGGCTCCAGCCAGCCCCTGCGGCTGCGCAGCTGGGTGACCCCGACTCACGGCCAGAGGCGCGTCTCCCTCTCAGTCCCGCCCCCACATGGGGTCCGAGGTCATTCATGCCCTTCCCCTGACTGAGGGTCTGCTGCCAGGAAGGGATGGGGGGGGCGGGTTCTGCATTCAGGGGAGGAGCCGAGAGGAGCAGGAAACATCAGCTGTCCTTGTGTTGGGGACCAGCTATGATTGTAAGAAATATTCATCCTGCTCCGTTAACCGGGATTGTTTTGTTCTGATTAAAGAAGACACAGGCCAGCTCTGTCTGGGCTGAGGCAGCCATCTTGCTCTTGCCGCGTGCTGGTGTTGGAGGACTCTCCCTGCTTCAGATTTACCAACAGCATGAATCAAGAAAAGTTAGCCAAACTTCAGGCTCAGGTCCGGATAGGGGCAAGGGTACAGCTCGCAGAAAGAAGAAGGTGGTACATAGAACAGCTACAGCTGATGACAAAAAACTTCAGAGTTCTCTAAAAAACTGGCTGTCAATAATATAGCTGGTATTGAAGAGGGAAATATGATTAAAGATGATGGAACAATTATTCATTTCAACAATCCCAAAGTCCAAGCTTCCCTTTCTGCTAACACCTTTGCAATTACCGGTCATGCAGAAGCCAAACCAATCACAGAAATGCTTCCTGGAATATTAAGTCAGCTTGGTGCTGACAGCTTAACAAGCCTTAGGAAGTTAGCTGAACAGTTCCCTCGGCAAGTGTTGGATAGCAAAGCACCAAAACCAGAAGACATTGATGAGGAAGATGATGATGTTCAAGATCTTGTAGAAAATTTTGATAAGGCATCAAAGAATGAAGCTAACTAAAATCTTTTCTGGTTTTTGGAAGTTGGCATGGACTAGATTTAACAAATCAGCTATGTGGTTCCAAAGTTTTACAGACACGGAAAACATCAACTGTTACTAGTTCAGTAATATAATATTTGTATATTAATAATGCTGTTTGTTCAGCATTTTTGGTCATTTGATTTTGCATTTTGCACTTCCTCCCAGGATCTATTCTTTTGGTCAAAATCCAAAGTATTGGTGCAGTTTGAGGGTGTTTTGATTTTTAATTCTTGTTTTCTTTTTGTTTTTTTGTTTGGGGTATTTTTGGTGTGTGTGTATTTTTTTGTATGCGTGTGGGTATGTGTGTACACAGTGGAGCGCAAATTGGAAAACAGTTCTATTTATCCTCCTCTTTTCCCAGTAGAAATAAAACAAATCTTTACATAAAAAAAAAAAAAGAAAAAAGAAAAAATAAAGAAGACACAGCCGGGCCGGCGTGGCTCAGGGCTGAGCACCGACCTACAAACCCAGAGGGCACAGCTCAATTCCCGGTCAGTGCTCCTGCTCGGTCCCCAGCGGGGCGTGCGGGAGGCAGCCGACCCATGATTCTCTCTCATCATTGATGTTTCTCTCTCTCTCTCCCTCTCCCTTCCTCTCTGAAATCAATAAAAATATATTTTTTAAAAAAACAAGGCATATTCTACTCTGGCTGCAGTTGCACATGGAACTGGGAGCTCACCTGGAAATGCAGTCTACTCTCCTCACCCGCGAGCTGCCTATTGTCATGGAAAGATTGACCATCTTGTTGCAGAAATGAGAGGGGCCCCCCACACCCCCTTGCAAAGCTCCAGCCTGCATTACCTGTAAACTGCCCGTTCTTATCCCTTTTGCCTCCTTCCCATGTAATCTTTGTCCTTCTACCCAATAGAAGCAGCCGGCTTATGGGGCAGGGGGAGCAGATTTGTGTGGCTGCCCTGCTGCTCTCCCTGCCGCTGGCAGGACTGGAATAAACGCTCATGTAGGATTCCACCCTGTCTCTGCTAAATTGGCTCAACCCCTTGGTGTCTGGTCACTGGGAGGCTGGGGAGTCACAGGCGCCTGGCAGAACCCGGGCTGTTGCTGTTCTCTTCTCCCCAGGCCTGCGGGAAGCGTCCCCAGGAAGGCCTAGGGGACCCCGTGGGGGTGGAGGTTGAGGCCTTTACCGAACCTTGGAGACAGCGGGGTCGAGGCCACAAGGGACAAAGCCCTGGCTCAGAAGCACAGGAACGGGCCTGAATCCCCAATAGACTTTTTACTCCTAAATCCTCATCTTCTCCAATATTCTCCTCCATTTTCCTAATCTAAAGTGACCTTCACTGAGTAGGGCCTCCGTGGCTGTGGGCATTTGCATTTGCTGTGACTGCACTAGGGTTCGGCTCTGAAGGGAGAGGCACAGACACCCCGTATTCTGCTGCAGCGCCCCGACAAGGTCCCGCAGCGCCCCGACAAGGTCCCACAGCGCCTGAGGGAGGCTCTCTGTCCTGGTGGTTGCAGGAGGCCCCACACATGACTTCCTGCTTCGCTGCCCCAAGCCAAGCCCCAGGAACGGTGGTGGGAGGAGGGTCCTTCCTGTCCCTGCTTCCCCACCGGATAGTTCAGCGAGCACTGCGTCCCGGCCTGACCCCACAGCCTGTCCTCAGCCCCTCCGAGCGCCGCCCGGCTCACCGCCCGGGGCTGCTCTCTCCCAGCACCTCGGCCAGGCGCAGCCTCTTCTTCCCAAGCGTCTGAGCACAGACGCAGAGCCAGGGCAAGACTGACCCGCCAGCATCCTCCCCGCCGGGCAACGACCAAGGGCCCCCAAAAGGAAACGTGGGCTTAAGGGGCAGGAGAATTTGTGTCCGACGCAACAGACAAGGTTGCACCGCCCTGAGCCTTAGCCCGGCCTCAGGAAAGGGCACCAGGGGGCCACCAGGGAGCAGAGGCAGCCTCCGCCCGGGTCCCCATCCCGGCTCAGCAGGTTCAGTTCTGCACCCAAATGCCCTTCGGCCGCATTTCATCGTCTCACCCAGTTTTCTCTCCACCCAGGGCCAGAGCTAGGATGCTGAGGGGGACAGAGACGGGGCCTGAGGCCACTCTGGGGCGCAGCGGGCTCTCTGGCCCCTGCTCAGCAGGGCCATCCTCCCAGGGCACTTCCAGAGGGAAGGAGGGAACCCCAGCCCTCGGGGCCACACCTGGCCGCTCCTGCCTGGCGGGTGGTTGACATCTTCATAAACTGTCAGCGATGCCTCTGGGCCGGACTCTGGGGGGAGGGAAGCAAAGAGCAGAGCTGCAGAGTCCTCCTGGCGGAACCGGGCCAGGCGCCTGCTCCCGCATCCCACCCTCATCCCAGGTGGCGAGACCTTGAGGAAGGTTCTAGAAGGGAGGATGGCTCGAGCTCGTCCCAGGAGACTCAGGGAGCCCAGGGCAGCACCCGCCTGACAGTTTCCCCAAACCAGCCCCAGCCAGTGAAGCTGCTGTTAGGGATCAGACGGGGCCGATTGGGGCCCAGGAGCGAGACCTGGGAGCAGCCTGGTGCGGGAAGGCGGGCCAGGCAGCGTGTCCTAGGACCCTCCACTTACCTGCCGGCTTCCTCCCCCTTCTCCACACACAGACGCTAGTGAGGGTGCCCAGCAGCGTGAGTATGAGAACCAAGATGATCATCAAGAGGGGCAGGAGGCCGAGCTCTGAGGGAGACGAGACATGGGCGTGGACTCACCTTCTCCCTCCCTGCCCGCCTGCTGCAGTGGCTGCTCCACCCCCACTCGCTGGGGTGGCTGCTCTCACACCCTGTGCATTCAGGTCAGAGGTGTCTCCCGCTCAACTGGGAGGCCGCCCAGTGACACTAAGAGCAGGGGACGTAGGACCAGATGCTAACGCTACGCTCTGTGCCCTTGGCAAGCTCCTTAGCCTCTCTGGGCCTGTTTTCTCACTTACAGGAAGGAGTCAGTGTATCCACACAGCAAGTTAAGAGCATCTGACAGATGCCAAGCTCAGCAACTGTTACACAGGAACATTCCTGTGTTTTAACTCAACAAACATGTCTGCTCTGGGCCAGGCCACCTCCGTCCCGCCTTCTGCGACCTCTGCCCTTCCTGCGTGGACTTCTGCGTCAGGGCCTGTCACACACGCAGCCGCAGCCACAGCCGCAGCCGCAGCCAAGGTAAGTGCCGCGGGCGAGCAGCGCAGGGAAAGGAGGGAAGTGCCCCAGATGCTGCTGGCGAAGCTCCTCGCAGACATCACCCACTTCCCTGAGCAGCAGCTCTGCCAGGTGCTTAGTAGGAGCTTCCCATTGTGCCCGGGGGAGACTGTCTGGACTCAGAGAGGTGATGACCTGCCTGAGGTCACAGAGCTTGAGAGAGACCCGGCCTGGCTGGCCACACGCTGCATGACAGCGGGGCTGAATCACCTGGAGTGGCCAGGGCATTTCCCCACCTGAAAAGGAAGCATTAAATTGATTGTTTGCTGCCAGACAGCTCAGGGCATCTTAATCTACATGTTATTGCCTCCTACTGGCCAAACACCTGAACAGCCGTAGGCGATTCTTCCAATCTGACAATGGACTCTGTATATGAACCCTGACCCTTTGAAGTGTATATCTCTGCCTCCTCTCAGGACAATTTGTGTTAATAAAAAGCATGGGGCCCTGAGACGAGGAGATCTTAGTTTCTTTAGCTGGGCTCCTCTGACCCCCAAATGCCTTTCAAAATTATGCTTCATCTCTGGACTCTTGATTAAGCTACGCACAGCCCTTCTCCAGATTACTGAACCTTCTAGACGCCGGAACGAGAGCCCCGGCCCCGCCTTCAGTTGCTTGTTTCCCTTCACGGTGGGAGCTTATGTTGTTGTCCCTGTTTGGCTATGAGGCCTTTGAAGACAGGGCCGCAGGCGGTGCTGCCCACGCGGACGCACATTAGGTCTTTATCTGAGAAAAGGGGTGCAAAGTGGGCTCCGGGTAACCCTCGGAGAAGCACAGCAATGAGCAGTGCCTCCGCCAGGTGCCCGTCCAATGCTGCCACGACCCAGGGCTGCTCTGGGACCACAGGGCTTGGGGAGGTGCCCCCTGAGAGGAGGAAGCAGGTCCCCGACAGCCTCAGAAGAAAACAACTCACAGCCAGGCTGGGCTGTCACTCACCAGACAACGAGGCATTTCCTATGGAAGGAAGATGCTGTCTTCCCGGAGGTTCTGATGGGGACAGAATTCCTCCAGCCTCAGACCGGCCTGGCTGCCCAGGACCTGTGTGCCTAGAGGCCAGGACCCTGGAGAAGGGCTCCAAGCCCAGGGGTGTCCTCCCGTCTCCTGCTCCTGAGCCTGGCGATGGCCCAGCACCCTCCGCCCTGTCCCCGCCCCAAGCGCTGCACTCACTCTGGGGGGTGCTCCCACAGCCCTGGCCGAGCTGGAGGCTCTGGTGCGCCCAGCTGACGGGGTTGCTGACGTTGCAGGTGTATATGTGCCCGCCGTTGACATCGACCTGCTCCTCCAGTCGGAAGGGGCTCCTGGGCGTCGGGATCCTCTCGCCCCCTCGGTACCAGGTGTAGGTCACATCGCCACCTCCGGAGGCCGAGCAGTTCAGGGTCACTCGGCACTGTCCACTGCCCAGGGCCGCCGTCTGCTCCAGCAGCTGCAGCTCGGGCTTCCCCACAGGGTCTGGAAGCAGAGGTTCTGATCAGGAAGGCGCTTCAAGCACCAGCCTGCGCGCTGGGAGGGGCACTCACCCAACACGGACACGTGGAAGCGGTGGGTCCTGACGGTGCCGTTCTCAAAGGTGACCTCCAAGGAGTAGGTGCCGCTGTCGTTGGGCTGAGTGGCCTTGAGGAGGAGCCTTAACTCCTTGATGCTAAAATTGAGCCTATTGTTGCAGTCACTGGCATTCCGATGCGCATGATGCAGCCTAGAATCATTCTTCCAAGTGAACAGCACACAAGGGCTTGGGTTTGAGCGCAGCCGTACCTTCCAGTCAAAAGACCTCACCGCTGTCGGGGTGTGGCCGGGCCCTAAGCAGAAAGACGTGCCCGAAGGTCTCACCACAGGTCCATCCGGAGACAGGGGTTCCGGGCAAGAGGAAGCGGCTGTGGGCAGGAAGGGCGCCAGGTCTCAGCATGGGGGCAGCTGGACGTGACTTCCCTTGAGCTACGAGGGGCCCAGAGCCTGAACCTGAGAGCACACATCCTCATGGGCACCCCTCCTCCCCGAGCTCGGAAGGCGCCCACAGCCCCTCATGAGAGTGAACGTTTCGAGTTCTCACCATGGCGCAGGCAGGTAAACTCTCTACATGTGTTAACCATTGCACTTCACAGTGGCCCTACAAGGTTCTCATCCCCATCTTACAAGCGAGGAAACAGATTTAGAAAGAACTTAAAAGTCACGACCCCTAATTATACAGTGAGAAAAACAAGCTTACAACCCAGTTTGGCTTTAGAAGGTGAATTTTAATATATTTTTATTGATTTCAGAGAGGAAGGGAGAGAGAAATAGAAATATCAGTGATGAGAGAGAATCATTGATTGTCTGCCTTCTGCCCGCCCCCTACTGGGGATGGAGCCTGCAACCCAGGCATGTGCCCTGGACCGGAATCGAACCTATCCACTGAGCCAAACCAACGAGGGCTGAATCCTTTTATTTATTTATTAGAGGCCCGATGCACGACATTCATGCAAGAGTAGGCCCTCCTTCCCCCGGCTGCCGACACTGGCTTCCCTCACAGCCCCAGCTTCATCCGGAAGGTCATCTGGTCTAATTAGCAGACACTGACCAAATAATTAAAGGGCTTGGCTGGACCACATGGCCGTCTCCGTGGTCCTCAGACTCTTACACCTGAGAGCAGGCCAGCACGCCAAGGCCCAGGGAATGGAAAGTCATGAGTAAGCCTACAGAAAGGGCCTCGGGCGCTCCGTCCGCACTGCCCCCACTGGAGCCAGAGCCCGGAGGAGCCCGGACCTCCTCCTGTGTAAGCACGTTCCTGACCCCAGAATCCGGGATCTGGGACCAGATCCTACTTTTAATTCCACAGCATCCGCTTAGTGCCTGAGGAAGTAATCACCTAAGGAATTTTAATTCTGATCATGGAAGACCAGGTAGACACATGCTAACCAATGCTCCCACTAAGAATAACTAAGAAAAAATGGGTGAAATGTAAGAGCATGTTGTTAAAGGCATCAGAGAGCTAATAAAATGGTGAAAAAAAATTTTTTATAAGAAAGCGTTTTTGGGCCAGACCTCTGAGCCCAGAGGGTCAGAGGGAGACCGCATGGCAGACAGCCGCGTCTCTTGGGACAGGCACAGCCCCTGACTGGGGAAAGGAGATCCGCGGGATTGCTGGCGCCGGGGGATTTGAGATCTGGGTTCTGTGATTACGGAGGACTGAGCCTAAAGGGGGCAGCCTGAGGAGCTGACCAGAGCATGCAGTGCTGGTAAGAGAAGAGCTTACAGAAACTCAGCCTTCCCCGTTTCCACAGCCGGCGTTTGTTTGTTTGTTTTCACTGAATCCTGTTCATAGGACATTTCGGATACAGACACTCACCTGTGCTGATGAGAGGGAGAAGGTGCGGACGAGTGGAATCTGGGGAGAGGCTGAGGAGAGAGGGGGGGCCGGGAGAGGTGGCAGTGAATTGAGTGCTGAGACACCCCTCGGCCCAGGACTGGGGCAGCCATTCTCTCCAGAGGGTGGGACTCCTCCACCTAGTCCCCAGGCAAGGAGCACAACCACACCCAGATTCCACCCTGAACGAGATGAAGGATTAAAATAATCTGATTAGTCCCTGGGAGTTAACAGGGTCTGGCCTGTAGAGGGATTTTCACTCCCAGCAACAACACAGAGCAGGGTAACAATTAAAGAACCAGCTCTGGACAGTTGACCTCCCCAAACCAGTTTTAAGTGCAATAGAGAAAATAAACCCTTGCTACTGGATAGAGAAGCTGTATAGCCTCAGAGGCCAACCCAAAAACACTGCCACCCAGAGGCTGAGCCACAAACTGACTCTTAGGTAAATACAAATTAAGGCAGTCTGGGACACAAATACGACCTGCTTTAAAATCAGGACTGTGGTTTACAACATGGAGGAACAGTGTATCACAGGGAAATTCAACACTCTCCTGAATACCTGGCAGGACTAAGGCGAGCCAGACTGAAGAGTAGAAGAACCGAAGGACCTTTACTACTGCAAATTTTTTTTTCTTTTTTCACCTTTTAATTAAGAAACCAATTTTTTTCTTTTTCCATCACCTGATCTTACCCTTTTAATTACTACATTTTTATTTTTAACTAGTATTATTACTGCTACCACTTTACCATTTTTTAAAGTGCCATTTTATTTTCTCTTTATTTTATTTTGGGATTAGTATTCTCCATTCTATTTTCATCGTTCCCTTAGCATCAATTTTCCCTACCTCAATTTTACCTCTATGCTAAAACCCTCTTCCTCACTTTCCCCTTTTGTTTTCCTGTTTCTCTTACCCTATTCCTGCTTTAGATTTTCCCTATTCCTTCTTTTTACCACCTGTCAAAATTTCACCCTACTTATATATCCTATTTCCAATCCACTGCTCTAAATCCTTATACACCTATCCCTTATCTTTCTTCACTATCCAAAATTTTTTTCTCTTCTTTTATCTTTCTATTGTTTTGTTGCTGTTTGCTTGATTGTTGAGTATATTGTTTTTTGTTTGTTTGTTTGTTTTGTGGGTTTTTTTAGGAATGGTTGTGAGCTTGTTTTGCTTTTTCTTTTTTTCTGCTGGTCCCCCCCCCCCCTCGGGTTATTTTTGTGCTTCTGTTTTCCCTTGCCTGTCTTGATATTACTGGTTGTTTGTAGTTTGCATTCATCTCCAGGGATCTGTTGCTGGAATTTGTTGGGATTAGTGGTGGTTCTATCGGAGTTTTCTCCTCATATAGTCTCTTAACCTCTTCTACTTCATTCTCTCTTTTCGCTCTTTTTTTTCTCCCCCCGCCTCCTTTTTCCCAATTTCATTTATGCACTCCTTTTTCTTCTTATTTTTCTTTTCTTGTTTCTCTTTTATGTTTTTATCTTCTTTCTTCCTTATCCCCTAATTCTCTTAATTTGGGTGGTCACCTTTATTTGGGGTTATTAATATCGTGAATATATTTGTGTTCAGTGCCTGGTACGTTGTGCCTTGTTGTGTTGTATTTTGTGCCTTTAAGTCAACGCAGCAGATCCAAGCAACAGCAGCCTCCTGATCACCACACCCTCTGTCTGAGGAACAGCAGCTGTATGTGAAGCCTCCCCCACCAGCCAGAAGAGCCACCACAGCTGTGAACAGCACCCACCAGAGGAGCTGCTGCCAACTGAGGAGCAGCTGCTACCACAACCGCCTGAGGAGCAACCACAGCCCAAGGAGCCACTGCCACCCAGGGAGCAGCCACTGAACGACTCAACATCTAGGTATGTCAGTGAGATCAAACATGGGTAGATAAAGAAACCCCCAAAAGAAAGAAAAGAGGACTCGCCAGAAAAGCAGCTAAGTGATACAGAGGCATGCAACATGACAGAAAAAGAATTCAGAATAAGGGTCCTAGAGTGCATAAACCGGATGGAGGGAAAAATCAACAACTTATGCAAGAAGCAAGAAGAAACAGATGAAAAAATTAACAACTTAAGTAAGGCACAAGAAGAAATGAAGAGCGATATTGCTGCAATAAAAAACACCATTGAAAGTATCAACAGTAGACTAGGAGAAGCGGAGGACCGAATTAGTGAATTAGAAGACAAGGAAGCAAAACACACCCAAACTGTACTGCAATTGGAGAAAAAAATTAAGACAAGAGGAGAGCCTAAGGAAGATTCGGGACAACATGAAACGAAACAACATACGAATAATAGGGGTTCCAGAACAAGAGAAAGAGGAACAAGGATTAGAAAACCTATTCAAAGAAATAATATCAGAAAACTTCCCTGAGGTGGGGAAGAAAAAAGTCACACAAGCACAGAGAGTCCCAAACAAGGTGAACCCAAAAAGACCCACACCAAGACACATCATAATTACCATGGCAAATGTTCAGGACAAAGAGAGAATCTTAAAGGCTACAAGAGAGAGACGGAAAGTTACATACAAGTGATCTCCCATTAGATTATCAAATGACTTCTCAACAGAAACATATAGATCAATGGAATAGAATAGAGAGCCCAGAAATCGGCCTGAACCAATACGCTCAATTAATATTTGACAAAGGAGGCAAGAACATACAATGGAGCCAAGATAGTCTCTTCAATAAATGGTGTTGGGAAAATTGGACAGATATATGCAAGAAAATGAAACTAGACCACCAACTTACACCATACACAAAAATAAACTCAAAATGGATAAAGGACTTAAATGTACGACGGGAAACCATAAAAATTCTAGAAGAATCCAAAGGCAACAAAATCTCAGACATATGTCGAAGCAATTTCTTCACTGATACAGCTCCTAGGGCACTTGAAACTAAAGAGAAAATGAACAAATGGGACTACATCAAAATAAAAAGCTTCTGCACAGCAAAAGAAACCATCAACAAAACAACAAGAAAATCCACTGCGCAGGAAATCATATTTGCCAATGTTATATCTGATAAGGGCCTAATCTCCAAAATTTATAGGGAACTCATACAACTTAACAAAAGGAAGATAAACAATCCAATCAAAAAAATGGGCAAAGGACCTAAATAGACACTTTTCAAAAGAGGACATTCAGAAAGCCAAGAGACATATCAAAACATGCTCAAAGTCACTAATCATCCGAGAGATGCAAATCAAAACAACAGTGAGGTACCATCTCACACCTGTCAGAATGGCTATCATCAACAAATCAACAAACGACAAGTGCTGGAGAGGATGTGGAGAAAAAGGAACACTCGTGCACTGCTGGTGGGAATGCAGACTGGTGCAGCCACCTTGGAAGACAGTATGGAGTTTCCTCAAAAAACTGAAAATGGAACTCCCATTTGACCCTGTGATCCCACTTCTAGGAATATATCCCAAGAAACCAGAAACACCAATCAGAAAGGATATATGCACCCATATGTTCATAGCAGCACAATTCACCATAGCTAAGATCTGGAAACAGCCCAAGTGCCCAT